CCAAAAAAGAACCAACCCCCCCCACCCCCACAAAAAACAAACAACAACAAACAACCCGATCCTGTCTGTGATTATGCAATATTAACATACTAAGTAAAGGGATGTAATTCAGTCAACAGCCGAACCCTATTACTCATTAACATGCTTACCTCCCGTATACTCATTGGCACTTCATTCTCACGCCCAATCAATAAAACAACGTTGTTGTTTTTTCTTTTTTTTTTTTTTCTTTGACGACTTCCACGCCTATCCTTTTTTTAAATGCAGGGTGTTTTTTTAACGCTCACCATCAACCCAAATTAGGTCACTTATGAGTCTGGCTTCGACCCTGGCTGTCAGTGCCAACACGGTCTCATCATCCCAGCAGAAAGACGGAGGGTCGAATTCCATCCCTAAAATGATCTTAATTGTGTCGATGGAGGCCTAAAAATACCTACATTAACACAATGCCAAACATAATACGTTAATTAAATCAATGTGTGTTTGATAAGCACGTAAACGATAGAAACAATAAATACAATTTGTATCTTATTAACAAGTGAGCAGCTCTCAGAATGGGCCATGAAGAATCAGCTTGCCTCGGAAAAGCTTGTCACCAAGGTGAGACCAGTCCTGACAGGCAGGGTCGAAGCCTGACTCCTAAATTGCTTTATATTGTGTCGACACGGGTGCAAAAACACCTCCGTTTTCCCTCCTTTCCTCATCTTCTGGATGTTGTATACTAAACCCAGACAGCAACCTTTTTTGGGGAGAAATTAAAAATAAAGATTGTTTTCCCTTTTCAACAATTGTATCAACTTTAGGAATATTTTCTTGCTTGTTTTTCAACATTTAAACATTAAATTTCGACAACATATTTTCCGAGTATATTATGCAACAGGTACAGCAGAGCTGCGATTATATATAATCCAAAAGAATTTTTTAAAATCAAAATTTGGACTTCGTACATTTTAACATCTGGACGACGTCACCTCTTTCAGGCGGCTACGTGGTCAACGTTTTCCGAGAGGAGGCTCAGAGAGTGCCGTGGTACGAGGAGGGTCTGGTCCCCTTCATGAAGCAGCTGGAGAAGGACGGAGTGTGGAAGGAGCTCGTGAGAGAGATTTTCCCAAACTTCCTACCGGGGCTCGACGGCATCACGCTGGTGCACGAAGTCTTGTAAAATGACATTCATCATCATCCGGTGCCTTGCCGACTGGCATGGGCGATCATGGACCTCCTTTCACTCTGCCATTACGAAGAACTAAAGGAAAAACATCAAACAAAACAATACCTACACACTGAATGAGTCAGTTAGCCTAAACGGACAGAAAGTGGGATACTTACATTATTAAGAAAATGTTTTAAATGTTACAGCCTACTTATAAATTGTTAGTTGGTTGAGTTTTTAAAACCTATCCTTACACCACTCCTATGACGTGAAACATGTGATAATGTGGTAAACTCACATAAATGTTATATTATACACATCATTTAGTTTTGAAAACCTGACAAAAACAAAATAAAGGAAAGACATTTTAACTGAAACAATTGAGACCAAATTGATAAAAAGTGGAATCTGAGTGTCAACAATTATTTTACTGTGTATCCTTAATCACCGTTATTTAAAAAAACAACGACCCCCACACGTTTCAAATGGATAGAAAGTTAATTCTAGATTTCAATAAATTTTTCTTTTCCTCTTGGTTATTGGTGGTAATTTTTTAATACCGATTCTTAACCAGATCTTACCAAGTAGAAATGTGATCATGCAATAATGTGATATTCCCTTGAAGTTATTAATTACAACACATTTTGTTTTGAAAATTGAACAAAAACCAAACGAACGCAAAACAGTTTAGCTGAGCCAATTGTGTCCAAAGAGATAGAAAATGAAATTAACATACTAATTAATATTGCGTTTTTTATCGTTAATGCTCGGCATATAAAAAAGAAAACCTCGATTCCTACCCCATCTCTACCATGTGAAAAACATGATAATCTGATCATCCTAGGAAAATAAACACATGTATACATATCTCATTTTGTCACCCCCTTCTCCCCTAAAGCCCGCCCCCCCCACCCACACACACAAACACTCACACACATATATACACACACATATATTTTGTCTGCTGACATTGTTCATCCACTTGCCCACCAAAATTCCCCAGTCACCCCCTTGTGGGAAATATCATTCAAGTTAACAGGCACTGCTCAGTGGACAAGGAAGACCTTACTCTCAGATAACACGCGAAAGTAACGGTCAGAGTCTTGCCATCTTCGCTGTTTCCGAGGAAACAACTAATGCTTTAGGCCGGAGAGAGATGCGATTGAGATTGTCATGCGATACAACTGTCTTCAACGACCAGAACAAGGAGGACCTAAAAGCGCCTCATTAACTGGCCAAACCTTTTAGGATCTGTTCAAGATAGCGATATTTCAGTTTGACTCTTAGGACTTGGAGTATAATATCCTAGACCGGGCACTGTCATGGCCACCGCTGTTGGCTATCTATAAATTCTCAATCTGTAAAGATTCAATCGCACCATGGACACCTAAGTTTATAATTAAATACACTTGTCTCGCGGTAGTCGAATGCGTGCGCAGACTGGTCCTCCCCTTCGCTTATACTTCCTTTGGTTCAAACTAGAGTCATAATTATGGTTCTCACCAGTGAACACGAACTACGTCAGAGTGAACAGTCTAGGCCATAATACAACAAGTCTATGGCTCGACCTTTTCTGAGAGCCTACAAGATGGATGTTACATATTCTCCAAAGACGGCTACTAATGGTCAGTGCGGGTCAAGGGAGACAAATACGAATTAATGACACTAGTTGTTCCAAGAGTTTTTGCTCTTAGTGTTGATTCTGAATTAATCTTTTCCAGACATTTTTTCCTCCCCGCCGCCCGATCGTCCACGTCCTCTGGAAAACATTGATATTATTTTATCTATCTATCTATCTATCTATCTATCTATCTATCTATCTATCTATCTATCTATCCATCTATCTGTCTATCTATCTATCTATCTATCTATCTATCTATCTATCAACACAAACACATACACACACTCACACACACACACACACACACACACACTCAAACATACACACAGACGCACACGCACACAAACACACACACACACACACACACACACACACACACAAACACACACACACACACACACACACACGAAAACACGTACACATTGGTTGACTAAAAGATACCCAAGACTTTCCTTTCCTACTCTATTTTTTCTACACTGATAAAAATGTATATAATAATAATAATAATAATAATAATAATAATAATAATAATAATAATAATAATAATAATAATAATAATAATAATAATAATAATAATAATAATAATAATAATAATAATAATAATAAATTGCATTTATACTGCGCATTTCCATTTCCTAAAAGATGCTCAATGCGCATTACAATGAAAAAGACATTACATCTTAAAAATTAATCGACACAATTGTGTACGTAAAACAAAGTACTATACATATAATATAAATGCATATGTGTAAAATTTTATACCAGAAAAACAGTCTCGCAGTGAGGTTGAAAATGTGTTCACGAAAAATATACAATGCAATACAAATTCACGAACAGTCAAAATAAAGTTGAAACGTGAGTAACTAGAAACATTCATTAAAACATTAATTCTATACAGATAGAAAAACATTTCCGTTCTCTCTCTCTCTCTCTCTCTCTCTCTCTCTCTCTCTCTCTCTCTCTCTCTCCCTCTCTCTCTCCCTCTCTCTCCCTCTCTCTCTCTCTCTCTCTCTCCCCCTCTCTCTTTTCTCTCTCTTTTTTCTCTCTTTTCTCTCTCTATCTCTCTCCTTTTCTCTCTCTCATTCTAACTCGCTATTTCTTCAGTCTCACAGTCTGGCATACACATGCATATATATCGCAGTACATCATTATGACAGGTATGCTTTTGTGAATAAAAAATGCTTCAACTGATTTTTGAAAATGGAAATTGTTGGGGCAGATCTTATTTTATATGGGAGTTCGTTCCATACCTGGGGACCAAAGAACAAAAAGGAACGCTCGCCGTATGTTTTGTAATTTTGTTTTGGAATTTTAAGAATTAGATTGTCAGAGGCTGATCTAAGGGCTCTAGGTGGATGATATAATTCCAGGAATGTTTTAAGATAAAAAGGTGCACTATCATTTATACATTTAAAACAGAGAACGACAGTTTTGTATTTAATCCTTTCTTTTATTGGCAGCCAGTGTAGTTCTTTCAAAATTGGTGTTACGTGCGCTGATTTCTTTTGTTTCATTATCGATTTTGCTGCTTGATTTTGGAGTACTTGTAACTTTGATAGTTTTTCGGATGTCAAACAGGACAAAATAACATTACAGTAATCTTACTTTGATAAAATGAGTGTTGTTACAAGTGTCTTGGCTGCTGCTTTAGTTAAATAATTTCTTACACTGCCAATTTTCTTAAGCTGAAAGTAAATACTTTTGCTGAGCTGGCTTATTTGGGAGGACATAGACATATCATAATCCAACTGAACCCCTAGATTTTTAAGACTTCTTTTTGAACGAATGGTATGGTTATTAATCTCAATTTGTAGCTCTGGGAGATTTTTGATGTCTTTTGTATTTCCACTCAACATTATTTCCGTCTTGTCATCATTTAGTTTCAATTTATTGCTGGTCATCCATATTTTTTAATCTCTAGTACATTGTTCAGTAGAGTCGACTAAAAGTGGTATTTGATCGAAATCAGTAGAATTATAAATTTGAGTGTCATCAGCATAAAGATGGTAATTCATGCCATATTGTCTTAAAATATCAGCAATAGGTAGTGTATACATTGTAAACAAGACAGGTCCAAGAACAGACCCCTGAGGAACACCACATCTAAGCAAAATATTGTTAAAACACGTGCTTCCAACCACAACTGCTCGTGTTCGATCCTTAAAATATGACTCAAACCATCGCAGGACAGTACACTTTATGCCAAAAGTAGTATTTAATCTCTCGAGTAAAATGTCATGATCACTGGTATCGAATGCAGCCGAAAGGTCCAAAAGAGTAAGAAGACATACCTTTTTTTCATCAATATATTTTAAAATATCAGTTCAGACCCTAAGTAACGCTGTCTCGGTACTATGGTGTGCCTTATATGCTGACTGATAGACTTCGCTAAGATTATTTGCTTTAATATGATCTAACAGTCTATTAGATAAACTTTTTCCAGAATTTTGGAAAGGAAAGAAAGATTTGACTCTGGTCTAAAATTTTTAAAGTCCTTTTCATCAAGTCCAGATTTTTTCAAAAGGGGTCTAATATGTGCTGTCTTAAAGCAATTTGGTACTGTGCCTGTGAGTGTTGATGATGATGATGATGATTAATTTTCAGAGCCTTCCCATCTTCCACTGTTTTATTCTCTTTTTTATTCTTTATTTTAAAAAAATATTTGTTATTCTCTACTGTGTATAAATGATGATGATGATGATGATGATGATGATGATGATGATGATGATGATGATGATGATGATGATGATGATGATGATGACGGCGAAAATTGATTTCCCAATTACTACCTCCTGACCTGGCTCACACAAGCCGAGTTTCTGACCGTCGTTGTCTCTGTTCTCATTCTCAATCAATTTCCTGTTTCTTCATTCAGATCTCAATCTTGGACCAACTGTCTGTCTTGCCAATTACAGGTTGATTATAGAGACGTTCCACACACGTCACATATGTTGTTACAGAAGGTGCAAGATAAACCAAGCGTCGAAATCGAACGTCTTAACATTATCGATTGAAGCTGGATGTCATCTAAAACGCTTAGGTTCCAAATCACAAAGGGGTTAGATGATTGACTGACGTCATATGGCTTGAAAATTTTTATTTCGTCTAAATTGCGACCTCCTCAAAAACTATAAACAATAGCAGAAATATACATTTTTATATCTAGGTTTTCTCCCTCCAACTCCCCCTCCAGGCTCTCTATTCTTTCTTTATCTCTGCATTTCTCTCTCTCTCTCTCTTTCTCTCTCTCTCTC